ATCTGTTTTATTTTATGCAAGGTTATGCATATGTATGCTCTTACCAAAGACTCAAAGAGGAAGGTTCCATACATGGAACCAGACAGGAAATAATATATTTTATTGAATGAGATAGTGAAGGAATTATAAATGATTTCACAGCTATTTTTTCAGGAATGGACCTGTGGAACCTAATTTTACTCATTTTACTTTTTTTTTTTTTTCCCTCATAGTATCTTTAAGGCATATTATTTTCAGTTAAGTTTTTAGAAAGTGAAAACTGTTTAACTTTTTCCATCCCTCCTTTTTTTTAACCTTTTTTTTTAGATCCCTCCTTTTTTTAACATTTTTTTTTAGCTTATCCTTTCCCATGCCTTCCCTTCGTTGCAGTTTGCAACAAGTGAAGGTTGTGCTGGAGTTCTTTTCCATGTCTCATATTCTCCATAGGCATCTGAAAAGAATAGGGTTACAGAACAGGTAAAGGAAAAATGAAGCTCTCCTTTTTTGCCTTTCAAATGTTTTTGCCTTTGGAAATGGTATGATGTGATCAAGTTACAGTAATTTTCCTTTTTCCTTTTCCTTGTCATGGTAGTTGATACCTTTTCCAAAGGTGAAAAGGGATTGGAGAAGTTCTGAACTGGCAAAGAGAAAGAAGTAAAGAAAATGAAAAACTGTGTTCAGACTGTGAGAAGGGGGGAAAAAAACACACACAAATATTTCAGTCATCATTCATCCTGCTTCAGTTGGTGTGAGAAAATGGTGCAAGAAAAAAAGACTGAAAGGGAGGAGAATCAAAGCCTAGTTGTAACCGTTTCAGGGTTCTTAATATGCCTTTAATGAAAAACCTCCCGCTTTCCACGATGACTTTCTGGAAGAGGAGGAGGACAGGTAAGGCTTTTCATTCAAAAATGTTTTGAATGTCAAGTTTTATTCACTGAACTCAGTAGGCTAGCCTTGCACACCCCCTCCTCCCCAGGACCCCTTCTGCTCCCTGCTTCTTTCCTTGGGGGCAATCCTGCTGATTTCTTCCACTCTCTGCTTTATGGAGGTCCTTATGTGGACTCATCAAGGTCCTTACGTGGACCTATCAAGGTCCTGAATGTGCTTGCAGCCTCTTCTTGCAAGCGAACGTACGAAGCTGGGTATCAGGGCGCCGAAGGCCAGGCACAGAGGGTCTGCTAAATGGCTAGTGAAGTGCAGGAGTTGTCCCTGGAGAAGCTCTTGCCTGGTGATGTCTCCAGGCACAGCTAGGGACCAGCAGGAGAGACACCACAGATGTCAGGACTTCTCTTCCAGTTTCAAAAGAGACGGCCCGAGGATGTCAAACATGTGATTTTTGGTGCTATTGGCGAGGTGGCAGCTATTCAGTTTTTGACACCTGCAGACTCTCTGAATTTTCAGAGTTGGGCCTAATATTTCTGAAAGTGACGTATGTTTTGTTTTGTTTCTATTTACATCTGTCACCTTCATCTCTTCATTCTCTTTTGGGAATGTATGTCCCACTTTCACTAACTGTGTTTGATAACCTGGGACATGTCTGGTAGGAATGTAGTAGCATATTAACAAATTGCCTTGAAATATGAGAAAACCTAAGAAATCTTTTTTTTTTTTTTTGCACTAGAACAGAAATTAAGCTTAAAAACAATTTTTTTATTTCTTCGCAACACTACAGTGCAGAGGAGAAGGCACTATTACAGCTGTATTCACTGGATTTTGTCTTATACAAATTTCATATTTCATTGTGCAGTTTTCTTAATGTAAATATCTGTATCAGATCATGCTTAAGTATTTCTGTTTTTGAAACATAACAATTTGGTTTAATTCCATGGTTTTTCAGAACGTGAGTTGAACCCAAGCTGGTTAATATTTCTAGTGTCTAGTTACACATTGAGGAAATCTATGTTTTAATTATGGTTTGCATCATGCTTTAGTTATTCTATCACTTTAATGTTGGTACAGTTTGTCAGGATGTAAGAAGTGGTCTATATATACGGAAATGGATCCAAAATATGTTTGGCAAGAGAGCAAAACCAAAGAGAGTGGAAAAAAAATCACAGCACGTGCCAAACTTCAGGAAAATTTTAATCCAAATCTAAAAACAAACTCTACTTTCAAGTTTTTTTCCTCCCATCTCCTAGTCATTTTTTATCCATTAGAAAGGAAATGAATTACTTCCGTTTTTGAAAGACATTTTTTTGTGTCTTTTGTCTTACTACTATATACTGTTTCCAGTCTCCTTAATACTTGCCTTCTAGTCTTGCCCTTCCTGATTTTCCTGAATAGGAACCATTTAGGTGTTATAGGAATGATTGGTGTGTAGTTAATGCTTGAGTCTTGAATTCAGGAGTCTCTTCTCGGGACCTCTTGTGTGTGGACACGATGCTTAACTCCTTGGTTACTTCACTGAACCTTTCCCATCGCTAGGGTGTAAGCAGTGCTTGGTGGAAGCAAGTGTACGTATGCAGTAGATGAAAACATTTCTTACCTTTTTCATGTTAAAATGTAAAAACTGCAAAAGTGCTTGGAGAAAGCCATGTTTTTCTTATATAAACAAGTTCACCCCAACAACTATTTTCTTGGTCGTGGTGTGTTCTGAAATGGAAAAACTCATTTGTGAAAACTTGGTCACATCCTTCTCTTATTCCACATCTATCAATACATGCCTGCCTTGGGCTTAATTAGAGGTGATTCTTAATGCAAGCAAGAAAGCAAAGGTGGATATTTAAAAAGAAATTCCCAGAAATTCAGTTTCACTCAAACTGGTGAACTCTATAAGTTAAGGTGGAAATTCTAGGGAAAAGCTTCTGCGGTTCTTGCTGTTTCTTTTATGCTTCTGAAGTATCTAATGCTGGTTTGCGTTGGATGTGTGTCATAGAATCAGAGAGAAATTCTGTGTAACCCTGGTGATTATCATTTTATTTATGTGACTATCCAAATAAATTTGACTTTAGTATATATCTGCTAACATGCTTAGTCACTTCCACTTTTGAATACAAAACTGCATTATTTGTGCATGTGATTAGCCATGTATTAACCATTTAGCTTCTCTACATTTGGGTCCTAGACATTATTATTTTTTTTTAATAAACAGGGTAGCAGAAATGGACAAGTGGTATTTGTGTGTGGTTTTTTTTTTTTCCACTTTTCTAGATTGATGTCTTGCCTGAAATCGTTGAGGCTGTGGGGGGCAAGGTGGAGGTGTTCCTCGATGGTGGTGTGAGAAAAGGCACAGACGTTCTCAAAGCATTAGCTCTTGGAGCCAAAGCAGTATTCATCGGGAGGCCTCTCATCTGGGGCTTGGTTTATCAAGTAAGTCAGGAAAAGCTCAAATTCACGTTTGCAGATTCCTGGGCTGGCTGTTCTGGCTTAGTTCATGAACATATGTGTGCACATACATGTTTGTGCATTTGCAAGGGTACTGGAATGCATCTGTGCGGATCTAAAACTTGTGATGACACGTGCTTAAGTGCTAAGAGTTTGCATGTCCATAAAACTTCCCACAGATGGTATTAACACATATGTATATGTATGCACACAGGGCACTTATACATGTGATAATACATATTGCCTTCTAATCCACTAGGGGAAAGAAGGAGCACAGGAGGTTCTGCAGATGCTGAAGGAAGAGTTTCGCCTGGCAATGGCCCTCACAGGTGAGACATCTACACTTGCCAGTAATAGTCTGAGTTGCATTTCCTAATAGTTTTCATCTTTGAGAATCACAGTGATATTAAGAAATTTGGCCAAAATCCTCCCTTTCTTTCATCTGTGAGGCAGCAGAATAAAATGACAGACATGCTAGCTCCCTTCCTCTCTTGGTGCCAGCTAGGCAGTGACTGCAGGTATTTAAACTCTCTCTCTCCTTAAGGAGGACTTCAAGGAGAACTTTATTATTCTAAATTTAATAGCCAGGCTTCAATACCCACCCAAAGTCAGGGCCTCAGTGCTCAGTCTTCAGAATCATTGCATCAAAGTCTTTATTGATTTATGTTGTTTATTATGGGGAATCCAGGTTAGAGGATGTTAGAGGACCCCTTGAGCAAAGTGCTATACTCACCTATACAAGAGAAATGGAACAGTTTGCAATATAGACAAGCTTCAGGGTGGATTGGAGAAGAAAATAGTTAACCCTGTCTTAGAGTTTGGGAATCCAGTTGCAAATACATTAAGCAAAAACCAAAATAAAATTAACAAGGAGAGCAATAATTCTTTGATAAGTAGTGGCAAACCCCTCCGTCACTACAGGTTTTGTCATCTGACCTCCTCTTTTCTGTCATGTCATAACATGTTCTGAGGTAGATGCTGTCACCCTTGTGTCAGATCAAATAAAAAGACATAGAAGGCCTTGTGTGGCCATTTCTTCAAGCTACCTGGACACCTTGTTCTGGTTGCAGCATCCTGCAAAGTAATCAAGAGATTAGCAGAAGGGCAAGACACTTTGCATTTGAGAGATGCAAAGCTCTAGCTGTCCGAGGAGTTTGGGCATGCGTCCTTCCTCGGCCTGATACGATGAGACCTCAGCCTTGCTGGCAGATGTGGAGGCTGCAGCACAGAGGAAAGGCACTGGAGGAAGCGGGTCACTGAAGAGGAAAGTTGTTGTGGCTGAAGGAAGCTGCAGTGGCTGAGGTACCTCAGTGTTACCATAAGCAGCGAGTCCTCTCCATCGAGGACTGAATGAGCTCAGTCCTTGGTGCTGTCCTGCGTTTACATCCAGGCAGGCATGGTCTGCACCTCAAGGCAGCAGGGCTGCCCGTGGGGGCACTCCTGAGCTAGGCTCCTTCCCCTTGAGTACCACAGGGATAATACGACCCACAGAGCACGGGAACTCCAGAGGCTGCAAAACCTTCCTCTCTGCTTGGGGATACCCTCTATGGAGCTAGCGGTGCCTGACAGGTTTGTCCACACACGAGGTGCAGTCTTGCATTTTATTAAAGGATAAAAATCCCTGGGAGTGACTGGGACTTTCCCTATCAGTCATGAGAAAGCTTGGCAACCTGTGAAGGATAAATCTGTTTTATTTTATGCAAGGTTATGCATATGTATGCTCTTACCAAAGACTCAAAGAGGAAGGTTCCATACATGGAACCAGACAGGAAATAATATATTTTATTGAATGAGATAGTGAAGGAATTATAAATGATTTCACAGCTATTTTTTCAGGAATGGACCTGTGGAACCTAATTTTACTCATTTTACTTTTTTTTTTTTTTCCCTCATAGTATCTTTAAGGCATATTATTTTCAGTTAAGTTTTTAGAAAGTGAAAACTGTTTAACTTTTTCCATCCCTCCTTTTTTTTAACCTTTTTTTTTAGCTTATCCTTTCCCATGCCTTCCCTTCGTTGCAGTTTGCAACAAGTGAAGGTTGTGCTGGAGTTCTTTTCCATGTCTCATATTCTCCATAGGCATCTGAAAAGAATAGGGTTACAGAACAGGTAAAGGAAAAATGAAGCTCTCCTTTTTTGCCTTTCAAATGTTTTTGCCTTTGGAAATGGTATGATGTGATCAAGTTACAGTAATTTTCCTTTTTCCTTTTCCTTGTCATGGTAGTTGATACCTTTTCCAAAGGTGAAAAGGGATTGGAGAAGTTCTGAACTGGCAAAGAGAAAGAAGTAAAGAAAATGAAAAACTGTGTTCAGACTGTGAGAAGGGGGGAAAAAAACACACACAAATATTTCAGTCATCATTCATCCTGCTTCAGTTGGTGTGAGAAAATGGTGCAAGAAAAAAAGACTGAAAGGGAGGAGAATCAAAGCCTAGTTGTAACCGTTTCAGGGTTCTTAATATGCCTTTAATGAAAAACCTCCCGCTTTCCACGATGACTTTCTGGAAGAGGAGGAGGACAGGTAAGGCTTTTCATTCAAAAATGTTTTGAATGTCAAGTTTTATTCACTGAACTCAGTAGGCTAGCCTTGCACACCCCCTCCTCCCCAGGACCCCTTCTGCTCCCTGCTTCTCTCCTTGGGGGCAATCCTGCTGATTTTTTCCACTCTCTGCTTTATGGAGGTCCTTATGTGGACTCATCAAGGTCCTTACGTGGACCTATCAAGGTCCTGAATGTGCTTGCAGCCTCTTCTTGCAAGCGAACGTACGAAGCTGGGTATCAGGGCGCCGAAGGCCAGGCACAGAGGGTCTGCTAAATGGCTAGTGAAGTGCAGGAGTTGTCCCTGGAGAAGCTCTTGCCTGGTGATGTCTCCAGGCACAGCTAGGGACCAGCAGGAGAGACACCACAGATGTCAGGACTTCTCTTCCAGTTTCAAAAGAGACGGCCCGAGGATGTCAAACATGTGATTTTTGGTGCTATTGGCGAGGTGGCAGCTATTCAGTTTTTGACACCTGCAGACTCTCTGAATTTTCAGAGTTGGGCCTAATATTTCTGAAAGTGACGTATGTTTTGTTTTGTTTCTATTTACATCTGTCACCTTCATCTCTTCATTCTCTTTTGGGAATGTATGTCCCACTTTCACTAACTGTGTTTGATAACCTGGGACATGTCTGGTAGGAATGTAGTAGCATATTAACAAATTGCCTTGAAATATGAGAAAACCTAAGAAATCTTTTTTTTTTTTTTTGCACTAGAACAGAAATTAAGCTTAAAAACAATTTTTTTATTTCTTCGCAACACTACAGTGCAGAGGAGAAGGCACTATTACAGCTGTATTCACTGGATTTTGTCTTATACAAATTTCATATTTCATTGTGCAGTTTTCTTAATGTAAATATCTGTATCAGATCATGCTTAAGTATTTCTGTTTTTGAAACATAACAATTTGGTTTAATTCCATGGTTTTTCAGAACGTGAGTTGAACCCAAGCTGGTTAATATTTCTAGTGTCTAGTTACACATTGAGGAAATCTATGTTTTAATTATGGTTTGCATCATGCTTTAGTTATTCTATCACTTTAATGTTGGTACAGTTTGTCAGGATGTAAGAAGTGGTCTATATATACGGAAATGGATCCAAAATATGTTTGGCAAGAGAGCAAAACCAAAGGGAGTGGAAAAAAAATCACAGCACGTGCCAAACTTCAGGAAAATTTTAATCCAAATCTAAAAACAAACTCTACTTTCAAGTTTTTTTCCTCCCATCTCCTAGTCATTTTTTATCCATTAGAAAGGAAATGAATTACTTCCGTTTTTGAAAGACATTTTTTTGTGTCTTTTGTCTTACTACTATATACTGTTTCCAGTCTCCTTAATACTTGCCTTCTAGTCTTGCCCTTCCTGATTTTCCTGAATAGGAACCATTTAGGTGTTATAGGAATGATTGGTGTGTAGTTAATGCTTGTCTTGAATTCAGGAGTCTCTTCTCGGGACCTCTTGTGTGTGGACACGATGCTTAACTCCTTGGTTACTTCACTGAACCTTTCCCATCGCTAGGGTGTAAGCAGTGCTTGGTGGAAGCAAGTGTACGTATGCAGTAGATGAAAACATTTCTTACCTTTTTCATGTTAAAATGTAAAAACTGCAAAAGTGCTTGGAGAAAGCCATGTTTTTCTTATATAAACAAGTTCACCCCAACAACTATTTTCTTGGTCGTGGTGTGTTCTGAAATGGAAAAACTCATTTGTGAAAACTTGGTCACATCCTTCTCTTATTCCACATCTATCAATACATGCCTGCCTTGGGCTTAATTAGAGGTGATTCTTAATGCAAGCAAGAAAGCAAAGGTGGATATTTAAAAAGAAATTCCCAGAAATTCAGTTTCACTCAAACTGGTGAACTCTATAAGTTAAGGTGGAAATTCTAGGGAAAAGCTTCTGCGGTTCTTGCTGTTTCTTTTATGCTTCTGAAGTATCTAATGCTGGTTTGCGTTGGATGTGTGTCATAGAATCAGAGAGAAATTCTGTGTAACCCTGGTGATTATCATTTTATTTATGTGACTATCCAAATAAATTTGACTTTAGTATATATCTGCTAACATGCTTAGTCACTTCCACTTTTGAATACAAAACTGCATTATTTGTGCATGTGATTAGCCATGTATTAACCATTTAGCTTCTCTACATTTGGGTCCTAGACATTATTATTTTTTTTTAATAAACAGGGTAGCAGAAATGGACAAGTGGTATTTGTGTGTGTTTTTTTTTTCCACTTTTCTAGATTGATGTCTTGCCTGAAATCGTTGAGGCTGTGGGGGGCAAGGTGGAGGTGTTCCTCGATGGTGGTGTGAGAAAAGGCACAGACGTTCTCAAAGCATTAGCTCTTGGAGCCAAAGCAGTATTCATCGGGAGGCCTCTCATCTGGGGCTTGGTTTATCAAGTAAGTCAGGAAAAGCTCAAATTCACGTTTGCAGATTCCTGGGCTGGCTGTTCTGGCTTAGTTCATGAACATATGTGTGCACATACATGTTTGTGCATTTGCAAGGGTACTGGAATGCATCTGTGCGGATCTAAAACTTGTGATGACACGTGCTTAAGTGCTAAGAGTTTGCATGTCCATAAAACTTCCCACAGATGGTATTAACACATATGTATATGTATGCACACAGGGCACTTACTTATACATGTGATAATACATATTGACTTCTAATCCACTAGGGGAAAGAAGGAGCACAGGAGGTTCTGCAGATGCTGAAGGAAGAGTTTCGCCTGGCAATGGCCCTCACAGGTGAGACATCTACACTTGCCAGTAATAGTCTGAGTTGCATTTCCTAATAGTTTTCATCTTTGAGAATCACAGTGATATTAAGAAATTTGGCCAAAATCCTCCCTTTCTTTCATCTGTGAGGCAGCAGAATAAAATGACAGACATGCTAGCTCCCTTCCTCTCTTGGTGCCAGCTAGGCAGTGACTGCAGGTATTTAAACTCTCTCTCTCCTTAAGGAGGACTTCAAGGAGAACTTTATTATTCTAAATTTAATAGCCAGGCTTCAATACCCACCCAAAGTCAGGGCCTCAGTGCTCAGTCTTCAGAATCATTGCATCAAAGTCTTTATTGATTTATGTTGTTTATTATGGGGAATCCAGGTTAGAGGATGTTAGAGGACCCCTTGAGCAAAGTGCTATACTCACCTATACAAGAGAAATGGAACAGTTTGCAATATAGACAAGCTTCAGGGTGGATTGGAGAAGAAAATAGTTAACCCTGTCTTAGAGTTTGGGAATCCAGTTGCAAATACATTAAGCAAAAACCAAAATAAAATTAACAAGGAGAGCAATAATTCTTTGATAAGTAGTGGCAAACCCCTCCGTCACTACAGGTTTTGTCATCTGACAATGTAGTTTGCTACAGGAAGAGATGTTCATGTTGAAGCTGTGTGTGCCTGGTTCTCCAGGGCACGGTGCATTTAGGCATGTTACGATGTCTAGGGTAACCTTGGTGCAGCCACCTGTGCTGCGGCACAACTTGCAGCCAGTGTCTGCAGGGAGCATTCGCAGCCAGTCCCCTGACCAGTGCTAGGCAAAGGCCTCTGCTTAGGGTGTTGCAAAGTCCTGAGGCTGTGAATGGACAATATGTTGTGGAATGCTGGACTCTGCAGAGCTGGTATCTGGGCCCCAACTATGAAACTTCCTTCTTAATGTTTTACAGAAGAGCGGGGCTTTCAACTTACCTATAATTTCTCCATCAGGATGCCGCAGTCTGGAAGAAATTGGAAGGGCACTGATTCGAAGAGATCAAATACCTGTTTCCAAGATTTAGGATTGAAGACAGTCACCACAGCTGTTGGAACTTGTATGTGAAGTTTGTCACTGGATAAAAAGAATTGCATTCACTCTCTGGGCCTCACCCTGCCCTCCTTGCTGAGGAGGGCTGCCCTGTCACTCTGTATGAGATCATTTGTTCAAGTAGCATTTGAAGCACTTTCTACAGGTGTTCCCATATACTGCTAGGCTCTTCTGGAAAGCTGCCCTGTACTGTGAGTTATGATTACAGAGATGGGCCCTTATACTAGACCAATATACAAATTCAAAGGTGTTTCCTAACCGATCGTGTGTGTAAAAATGTTAATGCTAACTTGCATGACTTGAAGTAACTTTGCTGTTAAAATGAAACTATAGAGAGAAGTGTTTTCATAGCAAACAACTATCAAACTGTGGAACTTTAAAATGCCAGGAATACTTCTTGTTCACTGTTGAGAGAAATTGCACTTCAGATCATTGAGATTAAATATTGCTTTCCTGTGGACACAGTATCATTTCCCTATTGACTTTATACACTATTCCTTTATACAGTGTGGGAGTGTTTAGAGGACTGGTGGTTATAAAGAACTGAACAACAGTGCAAAACTGTCTGTTGTTTAAGTGACACAAACTCTAGCAAGGAAACGACCACTACACATGACAGGTGAGATCTTTGACTTGGGCAAATGCGTGTAACCTGATTGCCTTCCACAATATGCTGACTGCACCCAGATGCAATGCTGAGTCCCATTTCTTCACTCATTTTTTGGACTTGTTTGTTGACAGTGTTTTAGATTATTTCTTGGATAAGTCAATGGTGTAACAATGGCCACCTAGTGCACCTATTCCCTTGCCATGAATTTATAGATCTCCATGCTTCAAAAGAGGGCAGTGTGTTTCTTGCTTCCTGACTTGTATGGATAGAGAAATTCAGGTGCCAAAAGGTCACAAGTGATGTGTTTATGGGTGTAAGTATAATGGAGCTTGCACCCCTCTGCATCTCTCTGACATACAAAGCAAGCTTAAAATGCTTCATTTCTGAGATTGAACCTGAGATTGAATATTATTTTTGGAATATTAGAAATGCTTAAAAACGCACATTGGCAATATCTCCGACTGATTGGAATCTGTTTCTGATATAAAACATGTGCACAAATGCTGTGAAGTTCCTCAAATGTTCTAAAGGGCCTATAAGTAAATCCTCAGAGGCACCTGGCCCTTTCTGGGCCTTGGCTAGTCTGCATCCTGAATCTCACAGGCCGGAGCTCCTTCTGGGAGCACAGCAAGCAGCAGCTCCTGCTGGCTGGAATCTCTGAAATGAGGAAGTCTCTTCTGTGCGCTGGGGGTCCTAATAGAGCCTCGTATGATTAACCCATTCTCGTACAGAAAGCACCATGTTCCTGAGGAGGCACAAAGCTGGGGTTTGCAGTACTTCAGTTGTCTCACAGTAACTGCCTGCCCATTTTCTTGGTGATGTTTTATTTCACAGGTAACAGCCCTTTTATTTTGGGGCAGAA